CGCAGTGTACAGCAAACAGCTCTAGGTATTTTAGCACACCAATATTTTTACTTTTAATATGCTGCAGTAGAGCCCTGCGCACTTCGAAACCAATGAATTCGCGTTGTCATTACTCATAACACCTAATACATAACTCCCTCACTTTCCCCTTTCGCATGCACCTACTCAGAAACACTGGCGACTGTCACCACTCAACAACCATACATTTTTCCAGTATTTCGCCCTGCAGCATGATTGCTTACAACCGTAAAAGGGGTGGGATCTGTGGCATACTGACCCTAGAAGTTCCGGTGGATAATTGTGCAGCTACGTGGTACATGATCAGGAAATATCCCCTCAAATTTCAGCTTACGAGCTTTCGTAGTTACCGAGCTAGAGAATTCCTGGCTAAAACTTTTCATAATCGATGTGCATGACAGTTGGCATAACGACTCCGAGGTGACACTTGGCCGGGAAACCCACTGATGAAAATTTAGCGCCAGAGGGTGCTTCGTTGCCTACCTGAAATTTCCCGGTCGTCACACACACACACACACACACACACACAATGTATTGTCACGAAGTGCGGTTTCGCATTCGCATATATGTCAAAACGCATAATTTCACCAAATTTTAATGACACCCGCCATGACGTATTTCAAAATCACAGTGGTTAACGCATCTATTAGTATTTGCACAAAACCAAAAGCGCACTTTTCATTAAAATTCCAATTCAAAATTCTTTCCCGACAAAATTCTACTTTTAAACCTTGTTTCAGATGCAGCTGCCCCAACACTGCGCAGGATGAGAAAAACAACAACGCCGAATTTGCTGCCAGTGGGATCCCAGGCAATCCTGACACTGACGCCTACAGAACAGGAAAACGGTAAAAGCTCTGGAGCGCATGCGGTTGCTTCGACAGGATCAGAATTACAAGCAGAGGGGAAATGCTGCGAACAGGGAAGCAATGAAAAAACGCAGGGTTTCCGATGAAGGCTACAAATTAAGAGAAAGGATTGAAGATGCTGAAGCTAAACAACAACGACGAGCGGTGGACTTGGAATACAGGGAAAGAGAAAGGATTGC